GGTCACTGCAGGACCGCCTGGCGTGCGGATGGGACTAAAGTCTAGAGCGCTCTGGCTCCCTTTGCCCACGGGGGTCACTTTCCAGGGCTCGGGTAGGGCGAGAGAGGGAGGCTTGCTGGGCGTGGAGGAGGTCAGGTGGCTGCTGCTTTTTACGGGGGTCTTTGAGGAGGAGAAGCCTCGGTCGGGGCTTTGCTGCTCCTCCTGAGGCTCCTCCAGCTCCGTGGTCAGCATCTCCTGGAAAGTGGAAGCGTCGGAGACTACGCCGGAGTCCAAGAAGGTGTTATCGGGGCAGAGGAGGACCGGCTCCTCGTCCAGAGAGTGAACCAGCCGCTGTTTGCGCCGAGAGCTGCTGGCTTGTCTCTTCGGAGGGGCTTTAGGAGTCTCGCATTTAATCGGTACACACACCGGCTCTTCCTTCACCTCCACCTTGAGGTCTTCGTTCTTCTGAGGATGCAGCACTACTGCCGGGGCGTCGCTTTGCATCACCTGTCGGACATAATAGGCTTAATATGCTTTCACTCCAGGTTATACGTTTAAAGCCTTTTTGCACAAATGCAGCATAACAACATGATAACAGTTCAAGGGACACAGGGAGGTAAAAGGTGTGATAAGTAAAAGAAAATAGAATGAAATAAATAGTTATCCCTCTTGGTAAAATAAAACCTATAAAATAAATAAAACAATTACAACATTTTAATTAATAGCAAAAATAATATTTAAAGACCAATTGAAAAGGGGATGTCGCTGAGAGATCTATGAAATAAATAAAAATCTATTAAATTAAAAAAATAAATAAAAATAAAGATTCAACTGGGGGTGTCGCTTGTAAAAAAAAAAAAGCTGATCTAAAAAGATGTGTCTTCAGCTGTTTAAAAATGTGTGAAATGTCCACTTCACATAAAACCTGCACTTGACAAATGTACCAGAAACATTCCCACACATAATTCTTTGACAATATCCAACCAGACGTTTTTCTAATCGTGCTACAACTCTGCAACGCATGACAAGATCTTTACCTTAGGAGCTATCCGCACTCTCTTGGCTCCTCTTGAAGTGGACCGTTTCTGCTGCGAGCAAGTGGGGGGGTACGGGGCGGGCGGCAGGTAGATGGAGGAGTTGATGGGCAGCTGGATGGGAACCAAGTAGGAATCGGTTCGAGGGAGAAGAGGTTTCATCCTTCTCTCTGAGTATAGAAAACACAACGGTTTAATGAAAAAAAAATGTCTGACTTTATCTGCCATGTTTTCTTTTTCACTTTCCCAATTTCACTCACCAGAGCTAACTGGCATTTTTCTTGCATCAGGAAGCATCCTCTTTTGTTGCTGTAAAGAAAAAGGAAATGACATAGCGTTATTTTACAGTTGAATCAAACAGTGGCCTCACTGTACTACTCTTGACTTAAGTGACAAGCTTCTCTCCCTTGTTTTAGTGTTGGGCGAGCTAGAACAGACACAAGTTAAAGTTAGACTTCTTATACATGTCCCTACACTTTAAGGAGAAATGATGGATGTATATCTGCTGCTCATTTCCTCTCCTCCTGTAAGAAAAAGATCTCCCTAGACCTCAGAGTGAAAGTCAGATTTTCTGTCCCTTTTCCGCTTTCTGCTGCTTGACTGTAAAGAGGAAGACTGTTAGACCTAGAGATTTAAAAAGGATCAAGCCATCTTACTTGGTTGGAAAATAAAAGCATTGGCACCGTAACAGGAGCGGTCATTGGATCACAACCAGGCTGTAGAAAAAGATGTGGAATTGAAGAAAACAAAGATGATTTAAAACCAAAAAAAACAGTTGATCATGATGAAATCAAAGAATAAAAATGAAGAACATTAAGGCAAAAACATTCATTCAGTTTCAGTGTTGCATGTATTTTGTGGTCACCTTGTACACCTGATCAAGAGTGAGGCATCGGTTGGCCTCAGGTCGGATAGTCCAGAAAGAGATTTTACCGTCTGGTGACGTCTCACGAATAAACATATCGTGCAGAGAGAGGTTATGGCGGATGGAGTTCTGTAATTATAGAGAAGAAACAAAAATCTTGATTGCATGTTACAGTAAGTGACATTTAATTACTTTTATCTGCTTTATTATATATAAATTGTACTTTTTTTCAGTTAAAAATCACCTTCCATCCTGGTTTGGCCACCTCTCTGAAGTAAGGGAAGTGGTCTTCGATCCACATGTAAATCTCTTTCAGTGTCATCCTCCTGCTCTTCCCACTGTTAATGGCAAACTGGATCATGGCCATGTAGGAGTACGGTGGGCGCTCTGACATGGGCTGCTGAGCCGACTCTGCATCAATTAGTGCATTTCGCGCCTGTAAAAGAAACAAAGAAAAAGAGTCTTCAATACATGATCCATCTTTTGAACTGTAGACACAAATGTTAAGATTAACTTGATATGTTGTTTTTGTAAGTCTACACAGGGCTTACTCCTAAATATTTAGCCATTCAAACCTCTTAATTCTGGATTCACTCAGAAATAGGAATGTAAAAAAACTGTAAAAAAAAGTACATGCCTGCCTGGAAAAACAAAAGCATTTTTGAAAAGAAATTGATCAACTACGACTTAATCCATTAAGCTCATGCAGTTAATATACCATCTTTAAAATGTCTGGCCCATACAAATATTCAAACTGATTAACAACTTCAATTAAGCCGTTACAATAAACTCCTCATTAATACGATATTGCCGTTATCAACAGTTTTATATCATCAAATAATTTCAACTCAGCAGCACAAGTGTTATGTAATCCCCATACTAGAGAGATAACTGTATATCACAATAAAGTGGTGTGCCACTGAGACAGAAAGGATGGTGTTTAGGGGTCATGCTGAGACATCCCTGAGATCAGTGTCACACATAGACATACATGTTATCACATCAGCAGTAAAAGTCCCACTGAGGTGACGAGCAGCTGACCTGAAAAGTCCCTGAACTCATGGTGAGGTTCTCCTTGTTGGCCATCTGCTTGACAGGATCTGGTTGGAAGCCACATGTGTTCATTCTGCCGAGCCACTGAATATTGGTGAGGCTGTCGTCTAAAGGACCACACTCAAGTTCCTTATTCACTAATAAAGAAAGAGGAAAAAACATTATTGCTTCAAGAAAGGGAGGATTATAGACAGATAACCAAGCTATGAAAGACTTAAAATGTCTCCATACATGCTTTAATTCCGGTGAGATGTTTAGCATCCGGGGAGCTGTGCATCGTTTCTGCTTTCGATGTTTGATCAACTGTAGAGACGTCATCCCCTTCAGCAGCAGGCTGGCAAAAAGATCCATTGTCCCGGCTGCTATTCTCACTCAGAAGGATGAATTTGTTCCTCCCCTGGACTCCACACTCTTTTCCTTTGGCAGTGAGGGCCCGGATAACACTTTGAAGGTCTGCTGTTTTGGGGACAACCACCACCTGTGTGTCAGACATGGAAGGGTGATCCATAATGCGGATGCCATCGGGGAATCTCTGAGTGGCAGCTGATTTTGAAGGTTCTTTGGAGCCCGATGCATCATCTTGGCTTTTCAATTCAGCAGCTGGTGGATCATTTTGCTGAAAGGGCAACTTTCTTCTTCTGAGGATCAGGGGTCTCCTTGGGCTCCGTCTCATGATCATCAAATGCTCCTAGGTGTTCACTGGTACTCTGTACAACTGTAACACAAAGACAAAAAATGGATGTAACAACCATATTGTTTCAAAACCTCCTAAAAGTCAACTTTTATCACACCATGCTAACTGGAAATAGGTTAATTTACCTGGCAGAAGGTATGAAATCAATGCTAAGCTAGCTGGATAACAATGAAAGCAGGCGGGTTATAAACCGTTGCTTTGTACGCTTGACTATTTCGATTGACACGAAGAAATTAATGAATATCAAATCGAATTATATTCTAATAATATAGACCTGATAGATGAAATTCAGCTCCGCTTTGACCCTTTTTTGCTTTTTTAGATGCAGTATCGCGCAGATTTAGCAGCCTGTCTCCGGATCACTAGGTTGTGTTCCCTGGCGACACATGCCTTCTAGAACTACAGTTGTTACATAGCTGCAGTTGGCGTGTTTTGCTAACGTTTACCGCTGATTCCCTGGCAAACAGCCAACGTTTAGATCGGTTCATAACTGACTTATTTAAAATATCATACAAAGTAGTTAAGTCTTTCAGAAAAACGTGGCTAGTGATTTAGATAAGCGACTACATTTAATCTGAAAGGTTTCGCAGATCATACAACCGATTCAGGTGGCTTCTGTGTTAAAGCAAATACAAACGAGATAGCTAACGTTAGCTAGCTATGTGTTGCAACAAGAAGCGTTGCAAGTAATGGATTATTTGTCTTTTGAGGTATGCCGAATGAATGGCTTTCTTTAAATTATTGGTAAAACATCCCAATTTTTTCTTGCACCGATGTTTCTTTAAATACAGAGGTTGTAAATATTAAAATGTCACATTTCCTAAACGGGGTTCAATGTGTCATCCATTTGAGTCATGAGAAATAAATGCACCAGCGTACAAAATGCATATCATGGAGGAAATCTTTGTTTTGTTGCATCAAACCTTTACTAACATTACATTGTAACATTGTCCTTGTTACAGTCAACGTCAGCTAATTGTAAGCTAAGCTAAGGCAGCTAGGTGGCTAGCTATCACGTAGGTTAACAGCTAGCACATACCACCATTGTAACAAAACTAGATAAAGCCAAACCTTCATATTACTGTGATGTTTCAGGCAATTCCGCGTTGCTTGTCTCCTGCTAATAGTTGAAACAATTGGCACATAATCGATGTTAAATCAAAGGATCCGTAATATGTATAATGGTTCATTTGGTCTTATTTACATGCTGCCTTGTCGATTCAACAACGTTTTTGAATTTTGGCGCTGTGGGTGCCACATCCGTAACTCTGATCACGTGGTATACATGTGCACCAATAGCGATCCAGAGAAAAATACCATATGATCCAACCCCCAATCAGAATCGACGTTGGTGGAAACCGGGAAATGGTAAGTAACAGGATGACGGAAAACAAGGGAAGTTCCTAGTTGACAACAACAATGGAATACCTAACGTTTTATGCATGGGTTAATTTTTTGCAATAATAACTATGTCTAGCGCGAAGCATAACATTTAGGTAAGTTCTATGTCGTGCTAGAATTAAAACGTTCAAAAGTACACAGCTAAATGTTGACTTCTTAACCGTAGACCTGGACATGTCATTAGTGTATAGTATTTAAACCAGAAAATTACATTAAGTGATGTTTTAATTCCACTAGGTGTTCAGGAATGATCATTATTAATGCCCCGTAAAGCCAAAAAGACAGAGAAGCCTCCCCTGCCGTTCCTGGAGCATCCTGTGCGTGGAGTCAGACTCCAAAATGTACCTGAAGTCCGAGCAGCACTCAATCCCAAAGAGTTTTTCACAGAGACACAGAACAGTTCATCTCTAAATTCTTGGGTAAGTTCATTTATTTTAAACACCAGTGTTCATATCACATAATGTGTTCTAAATGTAAGTGTCTGCAGTTAAACCTGACCTTTCTGGGGAGTTACTTTGCAGAATTATAATTATTTGATATGTGACTGAAAGTGTATTCCCCTCTACTCTTTTTAGGTAAGACCAGAATTTGATCGTTCAGTTGCAGCTGCACTCCCAGTGAAACGAGGCGGAAGAAAAAAGTGCCTCTCTGCCACAAGCATTCTTGACAATTCCAGTCAGCTGTCCAGGAAAAAGAGTGTGTGCCAATTCCCCTCATTATCGTTTCATACAAGGTCAAGAGACCAATCTAATCAACAAAGGAGTACACACACAAATAAATCTTCAGAGTCTCCCGATGTGTGTGAAACAGGAAATCAACCACAGGGAGCGTGCCAAATCAAAAGGACTGCAAAGCACTCAGACACACCAAAGAGACAGACATCCACATTCAGAAAAAGGAATGTGAAGACACTTTCCAATGAGGCTGCATCCTCCAGTAGGTGTTTGGACCCACCTGAAAATCCATCTATTCAAGTGACAGAGAGATGCAGTATTCCAGCAGATGGTGATGCGACACCGGCCTCCAAAACGCACAGCACCACTGAGGTCAGCAGTGTCAGTCCACCACCTGATGTTGACACTCCAAAAGTAATTCAAGAAGGGAGTAGTCATCCCTCCTCATCCTCTCCACACTTGCTACAGGCTCAGCCATGTACACCACCATGTAATCAGCTACCTGAAATGTTAGTGGCTGACACACCAGAGAGGGATTATGGGTTGAAGGTGACATGGAGGAAGAGGAGGGGTCTGATGTTGTTGTTAAAAGAGAGGGGCCATCTCTCGGACTCAGATGTGTTTAATCACAGCTGATTTGGTAAGAAGAATAGAAGGCAATGATGAAAAAAGACATTGATTATTCATTGGACTGCTTCTTCTATAATTATTTGTCTAAACTACTGTGATGTGTAAGGTGATGATCATATTTCAGTTCATTTACTGTTTACCTTTTTTTTATTTTGAACATCATAATGATAAACCAAGGATGTTATTAAATAACTTTCTGTCACCCACCCACTCAAAACCCTGATACTTATCGTACAAATTAAATAATGAGCAAATCTAAACTGCAATATCTAAGTTATAATTTGTTCCTATTTATTGAGATTCATCCCAATTGTACTGTATTTTTATAGACTATGTTGCAAATTAGTGACCGCCTTTATATTCATACATAATTCTGACCTTTTGCAATACAAGCTAGTTGTTTTAGTATTATGCTTCTCGATGTTTATTGCAGATTTGAGAGAAAAAAGGTCTAGCAGGTCTATGAGCTGTATATGATATCACATGCCTTATGGATCTAATCTAACCCTATACAATTTTGTCAATAACGTAAAAACTCGAGTCACTTTTGTAATAAAACCATGGTTGCGGCTGAAAGACAATTTGAACTCTGCTATTGGTGATTATTTGTAATTCTGTTTAACTTAAACCCTATTTTTCAAAATGCGTTGCATAAATATATAGAATAAAAGTACAATTCCAAACAGCAAACTTAATTATTGGTTTATTAAGCCCTCTCTTAGTCTACAACTAAATTAAATATGTGTGGCCACTCAGAAAGGAATAACATTGTGTGTAACAAAGTATGTAGCCTATGTCTTAAACCCAAGTCTACTTGTTGTCATGGTTACTGTTGCAAATCCTTAACAAAACCAGTTATTAATCCAAGTTTCTGAAATAGGTGTTCTTATTGTAAGCTTTAAACATATTTACATGGTAAAAATATAAACAATCAATAGCTCTTCATAGACTGTATTTATAGAAAGCTCTCCACCCTTCTCTAGAATTTCTTCCAATCATCATCCACGTAAGTAATCGGTCAACCAATAGGAACACCCGTTCTTCGTCGGCTCGGTAACTAAGGACCGAGTAACAGAGCTCTTCTCAACCGCGTCCACAAAAAGTATCCTGCCGCACGAGGATCTTCCTTAGCAACCGTGAATAAACATGAGTTACTACAGCATAAGGTAAAATAAAACATACCTCGCATGTTCTTTGTGTTAGTATCTGTTCTGTTTGACCAACTGTGAAACGAGAAGCTAACCGGTGTCGTCACAGTTTGGTTTTTCGCGAAAAAACTTGACTGTCGCCCACAACTTTTATAAAGGCTCCATTGCATACAGTGGAGTCTGAGGCTGCTAACGTTAGCTTCTAATGGTAACAAGCTAGCTATAACAACCCCCAAATGGTAAATGGGCATAAATGGCAGTCGAAATTACTAGTTTTGATGTTTTATGTTAACTATTTATTGTCAAGCCAAGGGAGCGAGCTTACAGTCGGAGTGTCACAGCACAAAACCGCTTTAAAATGTGCATAACCATGGAAGTATATTAATAATACAGCTACATCACCGCCAACACGACGGGCTCTGATACTGATTAGGTTTGCCTGCTCACAAACAACATCTCCAAGAGCCAGTTCTAATTCCCATTTGGAAAGAAAGACTTCATTAATAGTGAGCGAACAACCTCTATCGAGTCTTTTTTGTTGATGAGCAATTTCCGTAGGTATTTCCGTCGATTTAATTTAGATAAACACAATTACATCATAGCTCCGTGAATATGTAGGATTGCATCGAGTTTGGGTATGTGGAATGACTTGAATTGGACTCCACCGTTCTCTGTTTAATTACAATGTATCAAGTCATATGCATCTTAGACATAGCTCATAAGGTGGAAGACACCCAAACACTGACTAGGTTTACGTTTTGTGAAGCCAGAGGCAAAAAAAAGAAAAAAAATGTTTGCCTGTCATGTTGGAGCATGCCTTTTAGTCCTGTCTATTTCTGTGTCAAAGCATTCCTGCAAAGTAGTATGTCCTTACAACCCCAAATGAGCGTCTAAAGCTGTAATAATAGGCTAATAATTAAGTAAATAAGTAAGGCAGTCAGTAGCCTAAATCCAAAACTTGGATTTGACTATATTTTAATGTAACAGAAGATGATAGCCACTGTCAGTCCTACACATAATGAACCATAGTGCTTCCTACACTTTGCTTTTGATGTACACTCTGCTGGTTATGCAAACAGGTGTTAGGAAAATGGATCTTATGTGTGTGTGCGTGATGGACTACTAAACACCGTATCAAGCACTGAAGCAGAGGTCTGCTTTCCTTGTGCAGGGAGATACAAATCAATGTAGCTCCCACCCTTTCCTGTTAAAGTTCCAGTCTGAATATTTGACTTTTTCAGCTTGTTGATAAGGGCTGTTATACAAGGCATAGGCACATAATGTAACATATTGCTTATTATAGTCACAGCGATGTGAAAAGTATTTGAATTGCCTGCACCACAAACAAATATGTGGTTTATTTTCTTTTCTCTTGTTTCATTTTCTTTGTTCTAAATACATCCGTAACATTTTGGAGCCTGCTGTATCAGCTAAATGACGAGTTACTTTGTTTTCCCTGATGTCTAACTTACAATGGGATTTGACACAAGGAAAACTGTGTCAGTTTAGAAATGTTAGAGGCAATGGATTCATTCCTTATCAGCACACATGCTGGGATGCACACTGCTCCGTAGCTCGGATAGTTTGTGTTATAAAGTTCACAGATGGCTGACTCAGCAGTTGTAGTGAGCAACGTTTAAAGACAGTTGAGTGAAGGCACCTTTTCTCTGCTCCTGGTCGACTTTTTAATATTATGCAATGTGTCACTGCGGGTTTTTCCAACCACAAGGACCTCAAGGAGCAAGGAATTTATGAATTCAGTCCTCATCCTTGACCATCATACCACCTTCATTATAAATCAGTCGATTAAAAATAATTCTCCACAGAGATGCTGGTTGAACTTTGCAACTACATTCAGGGCTTGTGGTTGAGTTGTGAGTTACTGCGGTTGTTTAGTGGATTCCAAACACTTACAATATGACCCAGCTGGCCACAGTATCTGTTGCTCAATCACACAGACACTGAAAAAAAAAACCTGGTTTTTAAAATGGAAACACTTTTCCCTTGTGTGCGCTGCATACATTTCACTTAAGTTATAGTTTCTGCTGTTCTATCCAATACATCTATGTTCTTTCACCATTAGAAGATTAAAACACCTAATGGGCAGCAGCTGACATTTCGTCAAAGCTGCCAATACAAAGTAATGCATCATTGTAGTGTCATGAGTAGAGTGTCCCCCCCCAAGGGAAATGGTATTATTATCAACTCCTGTAGCTTTTCCATCATTTGTTTTCAGCTCAATAATTACTCCCTCTGGTGATTGATCCCCCTGCTTATCATCAGCCGACCTATATGTCATTTTCCAGCTGTCTCTCGGGACAAACAGGCATAAACATAATCTTCATTTTCTCTCCCAAAAAAATCAAAACGATTTGGAGGGTTTTGTTCCCTAGCAACAAGATCTGTTTTTAGAAAGTAATATATAGGTTTCAGTTTATTAAGCCACATTTATTAAAAAAGGTATGTGTTTTTAATATGATTTTGCGGAACACTGACTGGTTACTCACATGCTGACAGTTGAGCATACAGAAATCCAGTAATGTTGACGAAGCATAATTTTTTAGAAAAGCTATTTCGGCTATTTTAAGATAAATAAATTCCTGCTATTGCAAAAAAGTCAGATGGTAGACAGAATGTGCGTATGTAGTTTGATATATGCAGTCCCCCCTTTATGACTCACAGGAAATGAGCTGCAACAGAAAGTTTTCTTTAGAAATGTATATATAGTTACTGGGAATACTTTGCTTAAATTCATAGAACATTCAGACTTTGTGCCCAATGTGTGGTTGTGGCACTAGCATTTAAGCCCATCACTTCCATACCTATCCCTAGCTGAACCCTTGTGGGTATCCTAAGGTGTGAAGTCATGGTAACGGCTCCAAGCCTCCGACCTCAGTCTGCCTTAGCGCCGGTAGCTGTCACTCCCCTGGGTGGGACATAGCTACTCTTTGTCAGGGACATAATAGCAGAGATCTTGGAGCCGGCAAGCTCACTGTTAGCTTGTAGAACTGCACAGTGACTCTGAGCTCCAGTGTGAATAAGGATTTTGGTGATACTGTAGACTGTAGAGCCTGGGACTAGTATTCCTGCAGCCGCATCCATGGACACTATAAAGAATGTTGGATCTCAGCCTGTCTACAGCCGCTGGTCATACAGGTAGCTGCACACAGACACATTTTAGTACTAGGAGGAAAATCAACTTGATTCACATCTTCCCAAACTCAATTTGTAATCATAATATGACAAGCTTGTTACTGCAACTGATGGACAGTTATCCTACACACACATTTGTGTAAGCAATTAGTCTAAACATATCAACAAACTTGAAACTGTTATTCTTGAATTCACTGAGGATAGTGCAATACTAACAATATTACAAAGTGTTTATCTGTTTAAGTTTAACATACAAAGGCTTCGTTTGTGCTAGGTTTTTCTTGTGGTTATATTGCAATCTGTTTATATAACCTTTTAAAAATATATAAACTCCATTATGTATTCTGTTTCGAGAATCAATATGGAATCAGGACTTGTTTTCAATCAGGAAATGATATGACCCCAATATATACGAAATTGAATCAAACCATGATAGATTCACACCCTAACTTGCAGCTATAGAGGCAGTTGTTTTAAAATGGTTCTTCCGAATCTGAATCAGAAATTCTGTATTCGTCCCGTAGTGGGGACATTTACCGCGTTATAGCAGCAGAGGCTTATATATTAAATAAAAAGTCAGGCACTATTCTTGCTTTGTGTGCTCACTAAGACTTACAGTTTATGTGTTCCTGTAGGAAGACTGGCTCCTGCTTTAAAACACACACACACACTCAATACAGTTCTCCAAACTGTATTGACTTTTCAGGGCCTCTGCGAGACTGAGAAGTCAGCACTTCTTTGATGTTTCTTCCAGTGTGTGTGTCCCCCCCCCCCCGTCCAGCTGATGGCTGACCTGCAGTCAAAGATGTGCTCTCGCTCATGTTTCTGCCACCATGTCGTTACTTATTCAGAGCTGTAACCAGAGTTGGTGATTTGCGTGTGTGTATCCAAGCTGGGTTTTGTCCCCCCCCCGTATGTTATTGGCTGCTTAATTGGAACACTAATGAAACTAAGGCTGTGTGGAGAATATCCAAGTGATCACAGAAACAGCTGATGTGACTGTCACTGTCCTCTTAGCAATTTGTTAGTTAATGTTGACATTATGACCTATGTAACCATATTTTCCTTCATTAGTGATCCAGTTTGTTGAGGATTCAGCTAGACTTTGATCATTGGGTTTGGAAATGTTTGGCAGACTATTTACCGTGGCAAAGTTAATTTGCGGTTGGATATTCAACAGACCCTTTTCTCACTCAGTTTCACAGAATGCTGGCAGTTAAAAGGCAGTTAGCTCACATCGGATCCCTTGCTTTTAACCACAGGGATTCACTTAGGGACCATGAATA